TTGTTTGAATAGACCCTCGTCGAAAGTTCTTGGGCCTATTACCTCTCTCATCCGTTGCAACATGCCCGTCGCAGAACCGTGTTGCAGGTCGATATTGTTGAAAAGTTGATCTAACCTTTGTCGATCGGTTAGGTCTCCTCGTTTAAGAACCGAGCGTTTTATGATTTCGTAAGGATCGGAAACATCACTAGTAAAAATACTAGGTGTTACGTACCTGTTGAATTCGCGCGGTAGTGCCTTGACTACTGCGAGGAATTGTGCACGTGTGTCGATCACGCCGTGCTCGGAGAAGTCGGCTTCTGCGTAGCAAAACCACGCTTCGATGTTGTCGGGCAAGAAAGGCATCAGTTGAAACGAAGGCGGGGACAAAGTCTTAAGCTTGAGTACTTTAGGTGTCTGTTCAGTCATGATGAAGTATGAAGTACGATAATGAACGAAGGGAAAATATATATATATCCAAGAAAAAACACGAAAAAAATCACAACGTTTAAAAAAATAAAAAATAAGGCAATGATATATAAAAATCCCAAGAAGGAACAGACTCACAGTTGCAATTAGGTGTACCAGATCACGTCAGTCTCACCAATGATTATGTCACAGGTATTCAGTGTTTGACAACGCTTCTACCAGTAACACCTTCTAATGTATTTCGTTCCCGCCCAGAGAAATCAAAAGACAGAGTCGAGGAGATCGGAAGAGTATATTTGGCGATGACCAATATATCGGAATTCTCTGATCTAATCTGGCTAGCGATTGCTGTTGATGTTGAGCACGGCGTTACCACACGTGATCTGGTGCGGATGCCTGACCGAGAGCCTTCAGCTAGATGAGTCCACTAAAACATGTGGTCAGCATCCAATATCGAAAACTTACAGAGCTATTTATTTTGGGGATTTATTTACCGCTACAATGGGAATTCTGATAAGTTGGTTAATCAGGAACTGTTGTCTCGCAAGAACTCTGAATTTCATTTAACTCTGAACTGCTGTATGACTCTATATTGTATTTTAAAGTCGTTGATAAAGATAAATGATCATTATGAATACTCGACTCAGTAGAATCAAAATTACAAGACTTAATATTAGTTGCAGTAAGACGAACATTAGCGTTAGAGACTGACAGAATATTGTCCAATATCACCACATTTAAAGCACTTGGAGTTACGAAATTTACATGAATTAAGAGAGTGGAACTTGCCACAGGACAAATACTGACCAAACTTGTGCCCATCTTCGTGAAATGCATTGCAACTCCTCAATGAATTATCTACATAGCCTTGAGTATGCACTGGGTCGGGATGACGTAGTAATGTACCGGAATTTTTTATATCTTCATGAATCACTCTACGAAATCTTCCCTTATTGCGTTCGAAATTTGTATACTTAACATAGTCTAGCAGCAGTTCCTTGAGAGTTGTATAAGGAAGCGAGATACGCTTTCCCGGCATAGCCAGAGTTCTCAATAAGCTATATGCTTCTTTTCCGATGAATGTGAGGAAATTTGCCACAATATTAACACCCTCAGCATCTTCCTTAGTCACAGCCCAGATTTCTAACCTTTCAAAGTAATCCTCAAAAGCATCAAGATCTGAATGCATATCCAACGATTCCATCACAGGATCCTGCTCGCGACGCCAATATAATATTTTGAATTATTTGAATCGTAGCATAAACTAAGAATCCCCGAAATAAGGCAATTAAATCAAGAAGTACTAGATGAGCACAAACGAATATATTGTATTTAGAATTCGAAATCAAGCATTCAACAAGTACAAAAGAATCATTAGTTAATTAAACACCACAGTACTGTCTGGGAATTCTGCACTGAAGGAATTTACCTACGCTCTTCTCCGTGTCTTTGAAGTTTGTAGCAGTAATGGAATTGATGTTTGTTTTCAAAGTCTTTAAATTTCATGCTTGCTCATGAGAATGAGGCTTTGAAGTCGTGAGCGATTCTTCACATCTCCATTCCATAGTCAGCAAGTTGTCAAACATTAGTTGTCCCTGAAGTATTCTCAAATTTTCTGGAACCAGGTCCAATGATGAGGAATTCACAATGTATGAATGAAAATTTAATATATATGATAAGCAAACTACGATACCAAAGAATGGGAGGTTTATAACCTGTAATACCTAAGATACGAAATTTGATGGGATTAATTATTGCACAGTGATTTTATGACTTCAATATTCCAATTTAGATGATGGACTTGATACTGCCAGTGTAAACAAAATACCATGAAGAGCGCCACTAGTCAGACATACTTGTTTTTGAATATGAAATGAATTACTGAAAGATGTAAATGAGGCCAGTATGTGATTATTATAATTACTTAGACAATTGGGACTCGAATTAAAACGTTCAGCATTATATTTGTCGACATAAACAGTAGGTTTATAAGCCGACTAAATTTGTCCCATTTTACCACACGTAAGGGGTTTATCATGACGAAAGATACATGAATTAAGTAAGTGAAACTTACCACAGGATAAAGTGTGATAATTAGAAGTATTTGAATTATTGTACGAACTAGGAATCGCAGGAATAACTTAATTCAAGCCACAAACAACTAGGTGAACACAGACGAACGTAGTGTTTGGACTTCGAAACCAGGCAGTCATCAAGTAGAAAGACATCACCAGTTCATACAAACAAAATATCCACCGCAGTTTAAATGAGAATCCAAATTTCTACAAACAACTGTGCTTCTTCTCCTTAGGTACATCATTTGTTTGCCCGATTGTCAATTTGATGTAAACGCTGAATGATCAGGGTCCTGGGATTGTATATAATCACCCTGCCAACACCAAATAAACATTCACAGAACATGTGATCACCTCTATAACCTGTATTGCAACTTCTCAATGGATTATTATCCATGTTTTCAATAGAACGAGGATTATCGTTAATTAAGCGTTCACTTGTGTGACCTTGAGTACGCATCGGATTAGGATAACTAAATAATGTAGTAGAATTCTTGACGTCCTGACAACTAGTTTCATGCACTGCCTCATCATCAGTATACTCAATTCTAGCATCTTGGAAACAATATTTCGGTTTATGAATTAGATCATTTTCCAGATTTAGTGTGGCAATCCCTACAGTCAATCGATCACGAAGGTCTACATGAAGTTAATCACCAAAATTACACTTGGCTGCTTGTTTTGCAATTCGAAGATAAATCCTCTGACCTGCCGGTTTTCCTGACTAATCATTTTAAAAATTTTGCATTCGAAACTAGCCAATTTACATCATTTAATAGTAGTTGTTTTACAGTTGGGTAGGGAAGTGAGACAGGCTTATATGGATATGCCGAAGTTTTGAGTAGACTGTAGGGACCACTTTTAACATCTTTTGTGGTCATACTCCAGATTTCAAACATTTCCATATAGTCCTCGAAAACTTCTGAATTTGAATGTACATGCAATTGTTCAAACACGGACCCCATCGAATTATTGCACTAATTAGAAATTCCCAAAGCAGTTCAGGTCAAACAGAACTAGGTGAGCACGTATTGTGTTTGGGATCCATAATTAGTGAACAATCAAGTACAAATGAATCTATATTCCTTACAAATACCGCATAAACATACCCCTAGATGTCCTCCAGGTTCGGTTACAAATTATACGAAAACATTGAAGAAGTTATTTTTATAGCCAATTACTACGTTCTAGAATTTCGATTGATAAGTCAACACCAATTTGTTTTACTGCTTACTTTTGACCGTCCTTATGTTCCGTTCTGTAATTGATCTGGACATTCCTGAATAACATTCAGTCTAATGAAAGCAATTCATGTTATGTCTCATTCATCAATTTACCATACCCTCTCCATTATAAATGGCTGAGCATTGTCAAGAATTAATAATTCCTTATTCTAGTACCCAGTTTTTGTTCAAAATTACCACGATACGACACTGAACGCGCATTGATTAAGTGTCTTTTCTCATCTCTTACTACAAACATGCGTTGAATAAATTTCTTGTAGTACCAAATCATTTACCTGGAAGTTCTAATAGAAGTCCATTTCTACAACATTATTAATATGTCACTTGGAGAATTCAGGAAATAAGTAACAAGTGATAATGATGTCACAGTTGGGGTTTTCGTTTAAAAATTACGCACCTTCAATACAATTTAGTGACAAAAATAGCCTTTCACTTTATCTGTTCCATTCTCAACATTTTTCGAATCCCGTAACCAATCTACATAGCACACCAAGTCCCACGCGATTACTGATTACGCGGGCAGTTACTAAATTAAACATTCCAGTCTACCATATTAATCATACCGGGAGACTCGGATTTACTAATGATAGCTAAGTGATACTAAAATGGCCATGAGAAACTCCCATTACTTACTGGGGTCACAACCGTGATATGAAGGCATAGGATTTAGAGTTAGGATGTTGTGAATTAATACCAGCCGGAATGCCAAAATGGGTAAGACCAGACCAACCGACAACTAGCACTCTAAGATTTGACGTTAACTACTGAAATACTTAGGTCAGTATTAGGTTCATCTATTCAAAAGCATCAATGGTCTTCCTGAAGGAGCCTATTTACAGGCTTTATACCTCAGGTGCCTTCCGATAGACACTTAAAACTTCATACGGTAAGTTATATGTAGAGCCAGTGAAACGTCACTGAGTCCTAGACAAATCATCCGGCAGTTGGATCACTAAATATCGAACAGTCTACCGGTCCTCGTTAAGGTCCAGGACGACCGACGCATATAATTTAACTTCAAGTCACGGACTAGCCCAGGCAGTAGTGGTGACACTCTGTGGTGACGTCATTTGTGTTATACGGTCACAAAAGCAGTAATAGTACTTTAATACCATGAAAGGATAACCCACGTTAGGTACTAACTGCAAGATGTGACGTCGACGTTAGCTAGTTGGTCACACCATCCCCATCTAACTCGAGTAAGCCCACCCACCCCCAATCATTCGACCCAGGTCATTTACATTAGTGATGTACATACATAAAACAAAATCTCCCTACAAATAACTCTAATAAACCTAACCTATTTTACGAACCAATAAAAAAAATAGAAACATAAACACAACTAACATTTGCAAAAATGAATAGTGTCTGAGCATACTGTACAATAATATAAGTTTACAGTTATTTAAACCACTTTGCTTTTTACTACATATACATAACTTAAGAGACAAAAAAAATAATAAAAATAAGTGATCTCTTTCGAAAAAAATAATAATCTAACAGTATACAAGGGAATAAGTGGATAAAATAGAGTCAATCTATTTAGAAATCTCCAACTCGTATCTAAATAAAGTTGAACTATATTGGAAATACTGTAGTAAGTAAGAGATAAAAAAAAAGAGCAAACTTCCAAATTGTGTACTTTGTTTCAATAATCTTTATTTAGCATATTTATCTGATTTGGATATGGCAAATATTTTCTTTGCTTCATCATTGATTGAACATATATGCTAAATGTATAATGGAAAGATATTCTATGAAAATAATGAATAAAATTACGTCAAACTTATTTATTTTATAAAATATTAATCAATTAAGTAGTGTGTTTTGTTTTGTTCTTCTTTTTGTGTATGAAGAAAATAGCAGGATAGATTGATGGGTAAAGTCTAAACTATTTGGTGATTAGTGTGAAACATATTGCATTGATTGAAGTATAATTTTAGGAATGAGACGCGGTTACAATATCACTAAGATGTTTCATGTTGTCTATCAAATAGAATATCTACCTGTATTTATTGTTACAAGAAAGACCTACAAAGGTATATATGACTATTATATATTGAAAAATAAGTAGAAGAGGTGTAATTCGGAGAACTAATCAGAGAATTATTAGGAGGTGTAGGAAGGATTTGATTATGACCAACTTAGTTTCGTGTGCTATTATGGGTATGAGGGCTGATGTCACTTCCCTGCTGCTCACACTGTGGAATGGCATTTCTTGTGGGACCTGAAAAGGAAGTTGGATTAGTATTGGTCTTAACGACCTGGGAGCGTGACCACAGAGAACCAGAGACAACTGTTTGAGGCCGGTCGGACACGGCCTTTTTGTGAAAGGTTTTTGACGTGTTAGCTCCGTTCTTCAATAGGCCTTACCGCCAGAGACGGAAACCCCTGAGGTAAGGTGAGGTGTGACATTTCTAGGGTCGACCATTTCTAACCCCGTCCTTCCTTGTGAGAAGGTAGTATCGCTGCAGATGCTAGTTGTCCGAGGGAAACACCGTACTGCTGTCACAACCCTCTACAGTCAACAGTGCGACTTCCCCCTCAGACGTTGAGTTGCTGCTTTAAGTCTTACCGTTCTTAAATCGACCTGCCTGGCATGGTAGAACCTACAGGAACATATGTTCCAGCCAATATAGTTCGGTTGGGTCATCACGATAGACAAGCCCGACCACCACGTTAAGGTAGCAGCTACGGTCGGGAGGTGAATGGTTATATACTTTAATTGTATTTATTAAACATTTGGTTTATAGTGTTTTTATATTCTTCTAATTATAAGCTTTCATTTAACGCGTTAACTAATGATTTATCTTCCACTGTTCAGAAATTACAATTAATTGATCATGGATATGTTGGTCAGTTTTGCATTATGAGTGACTTAATTACATAGAAATTGTGATTTCCTTATCTATAACGGATCATGGTCCTGTAATTGCACACATGCGTTGATTGCGTAGGTCATGAACAGCGAGAATTCATGAGGATCGCGACACTTAGTGTGAATTGATATAACTGACAAAAGCACACCCAAAAACTTAGTGATCCCATTAAATGGGCCTAAAAACGTGAAGTTAATTCAATGAATTTAAAATGTACTAATATCCATATACCTTGAGATGGTGGAGAAGATTTGTAGCTCATATAGATGAATTTGATGGAGTTTTGTTCTCTCAGCTGGATGGTTTGGTTGTGGAGCTTTCATCGTTCTTCTGAACGACACCATCAGCACAAGCTTCAGATAGAAGTGAAGTGTTTGAATTTCACAATTGATTGATCACTGGGTGGTGATCAATCTCATGCTTGTCTAGTCCTTATTAGTGCAGATCGAATGCTATCGATCATGTTGCAATGTGGCCACCAGTCTAGGTGACTCGACACTGCGGGCACTATGTATTGAGATTAGATGGTGATTGGAGGTAGTCAACAGGAAACCCTGGACCCGGGTTTCGTGCTACTTGGCACTCGTCAGCAAGGTGTACCTGTAATCTTGAGGGAACTGGTGCTCCCTGGCGGATTCGATCTCGTGTCACTCAGCTTCACAGTCAGAGACGTTACCACTGAGCATGAGATTGATCACCACCCAGTGATCAATCAATTGTGATTACATCTCAGTCCTACAGGAGGTCAGTCACGGCTCGGATAGCTCAGTGGTAACGTCTCTGACTGTGAAGCTGGGTGACACGAGATCGAATCCGCCAGGGAGCACCAGTTCCCTCAAGATTACAGGTACACCTTGCTGACGAGTGCCAAGTAGCACGAAACCCGGGTCCAGGGTTTCCTGTTGACTACCTCCAACCACCATCTAAGTGTTTGAATTTCTCCATATGCGTTTCACAGCTTGTTCTGTGCACCTTGACGTTGATTGGTTCTTATTGACCTTAAATTTGTCATTGTTTACTTCTTTGTTTTGGTTGTGTCTCCCATTGGTTTGATTTTCCTTCCTATGTTTGTGCATAATTTTCCTGATTGGTTGATAAATTGTATCGACATCAATGTGCTTGTTGGTTGCTGATTGACCTGAGTGCCAGGCTTCTAAAAATTCTCTGGTGTTCTGGGAATTTCCTCTGTCCAAGATTTCCACATTTTTCCAATCGAATGAGTGTCCGCAGTTGTCCACGTGTATTGATATAAATGAGGAAGTATCATGGCGTTTGACTGCTAACTGATGTTCATGTAGGCGAAGGTGGAGGGGGGGTCCGCTTTGTCCGATGTAGTGTTTCTCGCAGTTGGCACAATTTATTTTGTAGATGATGCTTAATTTGTCTTCCTTTGTTATTTCATCCTTTGGTTTGCATAGGATTGATTGTAGTGATTTTGTCGGTTTGTGTGCCACACCTATCCCGAAGGTTTTTAGCAGTCTCGTTGCGGTTTCTGATATGCCTTTTATGTATGGTAGGGCGATCCTTTTGATTTCTGTGCGTGACTTAGGTTCTGATGCTGCGTGCTGTTGGTATTTTTTGATGAAGTTGATTGGGTAACCGTTCTTTTGAAATACGTCCTCCAGGTATTTCTCTTCATTTTTTCGTGCTGCCAGTGTGTCATCGCCCTTTTGAACAAAGTGTGTACGCAGTTAATTTTGTGAGCTCTTGGGTTGTTGCTATTGTAGTCGAGAATTTGATCTGTATGGGTCGGTTTCCTATACACTTGAGTTTCCAGTTTTCCTGTGTCGGTTCTAGTGATCAATATATCCAAGAATGATAGTTTGTTGTTTGACTCCTGTTCCATTGTGAACTTGATGTCATCGAAGACGTTGTTGATCAGCTTGTAAGTGTTTTCCAGCTCATTATATTTTTGATGATGACGAATGTGTCGTCTACATAGCGAATCCAAATTTTTGGCTTGATCACTGGTAATATTGCGGCTTCTAGTCTTTGCATCACTGCTTCTGCGATCAGTCCTGATATTGGTGATCCCATTGGTGTCCCTTTCGTTTGTTCGTAGATTTTGTTGTTGAATTGAAAATATGTTGTTAGGCATAAATCGATGAGTTATAGTAGACTTTGAATTTGAAGCTCCGTGTACTTAGTGAGATTTGTGTCGTTGGTGAGAAGCAGGGATATAGTTTCTTTTGCTAACCTTGGTTCAATTGAGGTGAATAACGCTGTTACATGGAAGGATATCATCAGTTCGTCGTTGTTGATTTGAATGTCCTTAATTTGGTCCAGGAATTGTGTGGGGGATTTGATGGAGTGGTTGGATGAATCGACTAAATGTTTCAGTATTCGTGAAATTTCTTTTGACAAATTGTATGTCGGTGTTTCGAGGAGTGCTGCATCTGGACGTAGTGGAATGTTTGGTTTGTGTACTTTTGGTCTGCCGTAGAATCGAGGGAGTACTGGTCCATTGGATTTCATTCTCCATTGGTCTTGTTTTGTTATTTCTCCTGCTTTGACTAGGTTGTTTAAGGTCTTTGAGATTCGGTTGTTTAACTTTTTGACGGGATTTATATCCATCAGTTTGTATGTGCTCTTATCTTCAAGTAGTTCCTCGGCTTTTGAAGGAACTCAGAACCGGAAAGGATATTGTTATTGTTCCAGCGGGTAATGCACGCACCACAGTAATTATGGACAAAGAAGAATATGTCAAAATGGCCGAGAAACTACTTGAAGATAAGAGCACATACAAACTGATGGATATAAATCCCGTCAAAAAGTTAAACAACCGAATCTCAAAGACCTTAAACAACCTAGTCAAAGCAGGAGAAATAACAAAACAAGACCAATGGAGAATGAAATCCAATGGACCAGTACTCCCTCGATTCTACGGCAGACCAAAAATACACAAACCAAACATTCCACTACGTCCAGATGCAGCACTCCTCGAAACACCGACATACAATTTGTCAAAAGAAATTTCACGAATACTGAAACATTTAGTCGATTCATCCAACCACTCCATCAAATCCCCCACACAATTCCTGGACCAAATTAAGGACATTCAAATCAACAACGACGAACTGATGATATCCTTCCATGTAACAGCGTTATTCACCTCAATTGAACCAAGGTTAGCAAAAGAAACTATATCCCTGCTTCTCACCAACGACACAAATCTCACTAAGTACACGGAGCTTCAAATTCAAAGTCTACTATAACTCATCGATTTATGCCTAACAACATATTTTCAATTCAACAACAAAATCTACGAACAAACGAAAGGGACACCAATGGGATCACCAATATCAGGACTGATCGCAGAAGCAGTGATGCAAAGACTAGAAGCCGCAATATTACCAGTGATCAAGCCAAAAATTTGGATTCGCTATGTAGACGACACATTCGTCATCATCAAAAATATAATGAGCTGGAAAACACTTACAAGCTGATCAACAACGTCTTCGATGACATCAAGTTCACAATGGAACAGGAGTCAAACAACAAACTATCATTCTTGGATATATTGATCACTAGAACCGACACAGGAAAACTGGAAACTCAAGTGTATAGGAAACCGACCCATACAGATCAAATTCTCGACTACAATAGCAACAACCCAAGAGCTCACAAAATTAACTGCGTACACACTTTGTTCAAAAGGGCGATGACACACTGGCAGCACGAAAAAATGAAGAGAAATACCTGGAGGACGTATTTCAAAAGAACGGCTACCCAATCAACTTCATCAAAAAATACCAACAGCACGCAGCATCAGAACCTAAGTCACGCACAGAAATCAAAAGGATCGCCCTACCATACATAAAAGGCATATCAGAAACCGCAACGAGACTGCTAAAAACCTTCGGGATAGGTGTGGCACACAAACCGACAAAATCACTACAATCAATCCTATGCAAACCAAAGGATGAAATAACAAAGGAAGACAAATTAAGCATCATCTACAAAATAAATTGTGCCAACTGCGAGAAACACTACATCGGACAAAGCGGACCCCCCCTCCACCTTCGCCTACATGAACATCAGTTAGCAGTCAAACGCCATGATACTTCCTCATTTATATCAATACACGTGGACAACTGCGGACACTCATTCGATTGGAAAAATGTGGAAATCTTGGACAGAGGAAATTCCCAGAACACCAGAGAATTTTTAGAAGCCTGGCACTCAGGTCAATCAGCAACCAACAAGCACATTGATGTCGATACAATTTATCAACCAATCAGGAAAATTATGCACAAACATAGGAAGGAAAATCAAACCAATGGGAGACACAACCAAAACAAAGAAGTAAACAATGACAAATTTAAGGTCAATAAGAACCAATCAACGTCAAGGTGCACAGAACAAGCTGTGAAACGCATATGGAGAAATTCAAACACTTCACTTCTATCTGAAGCTTGTGCTGATGGTGTCGTTCAGAAAAACGATGAAAGCTCCACGACCAAACCATCCAGCTGAGAGAACAAACCTCCATCAAAAAGTACGTATGCTATTGAAATCATGAATCGATTAATGTTAGACTACCATTGAAAATCTGGAAGCACAAAACGGTCATTTCGTCCTAGCATGGTAACCCAAATATGAGGGTATCCACGATCCTCTAATGATATATACACTACTTAAACGAGTAGTATATTACACTGTGGCATTACTGATTTGAATGGGAAACGAGCTTACACTAAGGAAAAAAGGGTTATATCATTAAGTTTTAGCATCAACATTTAATGGAATTACTAACTACACACGACAGGATTGTCAAACCATCGATACTAGCCGTTGGACAGAATGACAACTGTCAAATTATATTTATAGAATAACAATACTACTACTACGCTACTACTTAGTAGCGTACAGGCAAAAGTTACTTGGTATTCTATTTGTTCGACAAGTTCACATATCTACTTAGAGTGATCCACGAAAAAATTGACCAAGTTTCAAAAGCCCTTTACTAATTTTTCAGAATTATTATTTAGCTGTTATTACCACCTTCACACTATCGATCTATATCAACTGGACAACTGGACTTCCATATTTCTAATCGGTTAATTACTTTCATACGGTTACTTCTAGTTAATCTCTAAATCATTCATTACACAACCTTCTCGCACTACTTGAAATCTCCAAACACGTGGTGACATAACCCTCTCTGTTTTTTTTCTTATGAAAATAGTATATTTGTGAAGTCACTGAATAAATACGTCAGTAAATGACTTTGTTGAAAAGATTTTCTTCATTGAACTGTCTTTAATTCTTTCTTATAATGGGTTTCATTTGCTATTAGGAATCTATATCTGATCTTTGAGTAGTAGTGTACAAAAATACTGTTGTAAATATTTTAACATCAAATATGATCAAGTTCAAAAACCATTAGAGGATTTTAGTCATAAAGTAATTGAAATACAACGTTCACATTAATTGATGTTTAGAAATTAATGAAGCTGATAATTATTGATATCAAAGGTTAATAATACATTTATAAAATTATATTTACTTACTGGTATATCCCGAAAAAAATCATTGTAGTCGATAGCATATCCAACAATGAACCGATTTGGAACTTCAAAACCAACAACTACAGAAAAACGATGGGAAAAAAAGCTATCATTAGGTCGGTTGAATCTATTCAACGAAGTCTTTCTAATCCAAAGATGCTACATACACAATGGAATTCAATGAATAAGAGTGGATTTGTTATATTACAATCCATAGCATGCATATTGTATGAAAGTGATTCGACTGATAGCATGAAAATAAGCTAAATGACTTTTATTGTTTATAACCAAATAATGGGTTTAATGAACAATCATATTACAAACAATACCAAGTATTTCAGTCACCGTGGCGAAATTAAAGACACATAAGAGAATTATACTAAGGGACTATAGGGTGAAGACACCTCATAAACTATGACATCTACAGTTAGATCACAAATTAAACTTACAGATAATTATTCATTAATTAGTTTACGTTTACTTGAATTTAGAACCGAACTGAATATCAGTAATTTAATCCATAAGTACACATCATTATTGTAAGGACTAAAAACCTGTATTTACTTAGTTTAAACTAACTTTTGGAATTATCATCAGTTAGGCAGATTACGTTAAAAATGTTAAACAAAAGCTGAAATTTAACAATAGATGAAAACTGAAATATTGAAACTTATTATGAAGGTGCAGATATTATTAGTCAGAAAATTACTTTTATGTGTTGATGATAACATACTGTGGGAGAGAACAAATCAGATTGCAGTGAAGGAAGAAATCAAGAAGCGCTGGAAGTGAATAGGACACATAGTGAAAAAAGCACCCAACTGCGTCACAAGGAAAGCCCTCACTTGGAATCCTTAAGGCCAAAGGAGAAGAGAAAGATCAAAGAACACATTATGCCGAAAAATGGAGACAGACATGAGAAGAATGAACAAAAATTGGATAGTACTAGGAAGGAAGGCCCAGGACAGAGTGGGTTGGAGAATGCTGGTCGGCGGTCTATGATCCACTGGGAGTGATAGGCGTAAGTAAGTTAATGATAACAGTTTAGTTTTGTGAATTTATAAATTATGTGTATACATATACTAATTAATTAGTGTCCAGTACTATCCAGTTCCAATTATTGAAAAATTTGACTATAGATCAGTGGGTGAATAAATCGTATAAAAATCAATGTATTCAGAAGTCTTTTTTATCCATTTTTTACGCATATTGAATATTTATTCATAGTCTTTGACTTCTTTCTTACGTCATGTCACATATCAGTTAGTCTTTGTTTAAGTTCAAATAACAATACGCTATGGAAGAAAGTCAGTAACAATTAGAAACAAATATGGATTGATCTAAACGCATAAAATCCGTCTACTTTCCCATTTTATGATGTCTTTATCAACCAACTTACATAAACCAGCGGATCATCTAAAATAAAATGAATTGTACTTTATATATTCCAACTTGGTTGTGATATACAGGGTAACAATTAAGTAAGCATTGTTTAAGGCAATATCTGGTAGAGTATATGATCGTCAGTAAAATTTCCTGAACTATTTTACAAAGAAAGCGTAACAATACCAGATATAAATGATATGATGAATATTAGCACGAAAATGTGTATTAATCTAAGTGTTCCCATTTCACAACAGGGCAAACGGAAAATCAATAAGAGGAGGAAGATACTGAAAGCGAACAAGAATGATAATTATTAATGGACAAAAAAGATTGAAAGGGACGTTAGTTATGTCCATAACTAACCAATCGAATCGTTGTTTAAGCGCCCACCACGTCAATCTGGTCTGATGTGTCTGTAGACTATCCCTATTGCATGTAACCTGCCAATACTGGCCGGTGTGTTCGTTTACAATTCTAGCAGAATATCTGTAGGACAAACTAAATCCTACAAGGGATAAGTTTAAGTTCTGGAAAGTAAGGGAAATAATATAAACCCGTGTACGTTATTGTGACTGATTTCAAGTCCTTTGAAATCTTAAATAACTTAAATATTGGCACTTAGGATGACATCACTTAAAATATCTACAACTTAGACATCGCTGGAATCAGAACACACTAGGAATCTACTTGGATTTCATCAGTCACTGTCTTTATGAACTACTTCTAATCTAACTAGCATTACACGTAGCAGTGAATGGTAGTTTATCTAGTGTAACAAGTGACCCAGCTGTTTCAAATAAACCAAGCCTTCCACTTCACTGAACAACATTTCCTCTGTGTTAAAACGTTGTGAATAGTCAGAGTAACGCTCATTTAGTAGCTTTACTGCACCTAAACAATGCTTCTAAAATAATTAAGGTTCAATCCATTAAATCTACGCATATCTATTAATAACTAGTACCTCACCGTCATATAATACAGGAAGAACTCCAGTACAATAAATTACCCACTGAAAACCAGTACGACATAGATCATGTAGATTGGCAGACTTTGTAAATACCATATTCTTTGAAGTAGAGACTTGCACTAAGTTACGAAATCTCTAAAATTCACACTCAGTTTTTCTATTCATTGTGGTTTTTAAAAATGAACTATTTTTATTGTATGGAGCTAAACTTTTGTTAGAGTCCAGTCCAGTTCCTACTTATTTAAGTAAAGCGATGAATGCACTTAGTCATCGCATTCTCTCTCTTTAAGTTAAATATCGGTCCAGAACTACTCTGAGGAACAGTTACCTTTTGGTGGATACCAAATCCATCTCTTGGGAATTTTGCTTATAGTATTGATAGGGTCCTGTATCTTACTACTTTCTCCTTGACAAAACTGTAACAATTGCACAGTCTCAAGGTCGACTACAGGATTTGCAGGAGGAAGAATAATTCGTGAAACACTTATGGTATACAGGGTTCAAAAGAAACAGTCACTAGTAGATAGCACTAGTTAGTTTTCACCCTCAATGAGAATTTTCTACATGTATTTAAGTTACTTTGGCAGCTTGATTAGAGATAATATAGTGAATTAAGATAACACGATACAATATAACATCCAAGTCCCAGGAGCTAGCAAGTAATTAAAACATAATCGACAAATCCTTGATTAGACCAATAATCTAACAGGACTACAGAACCTTAACTTCCATCTGAAGTAACCAACGACTGAGATATGTAGGAAAGGACCAAAACTGATTTATACACTAGCTAACATCATACTCAGGATAGTACGAAGACGAAGTGTAGAAGAGTTACGATGAAGTTATAGCCCAAATAAGTATTTATTTATTTATTTTAACACATAGATATTGGTACAAAAAGGCACCAAATACATATGCGCCACACAGATTTCATTTGATATGTATGAGGGCTGTGATACTACTCAGGTGCCCAAACCGAAGCAGGTGGTTTTCTTAAGGGGCCACACCCAGAGCCTTCGACATGAAGGTCTGATCCACAAGGCAGTGGAGCAACGTAAGGAGATGCAGTCCCATGGTAGCCGGTGACCAAAGATTGGTTCATACGCCATTTGTTCATTCAGGATACTGGAGCCCATGTGCACCATTGGTTTGGAATCAGGGTTTTTCAACTCCCCTAGGTGGACTCTCCATGTCCACCAACCCGGTTAAAGCGCCTGACATTCGCCCAAATTAGTGGTAATCTTTTACAGGTGTGTGATATTATTTAAAAATTCTTCTTTAGCTTTCTCCAGAGTCAAGCGAAGTATATATTGTAAGATATTGAAAGAAACAGATGATGGATATATTCCCTATCTATCAAAAAAAACTATGAGGACATAACAAGTGAGCTGGTATTCAATATAAAACAATCGTGTTAAAACTAAACTTACAATCTGGTTGGAACTCGGAAAAATCTTGTCTTCTTTTCACCAACAAACTGTAAGACAAGACAGAAGACAATTTGTAAAATATGCTGTCTTTATAACAAGTTTCTGAATATATTTTCTTGATCAAGTATTAAATTATAACATCAATAATGTGGCGGTTTACCTCGACCCATTAAACACTTTATCCCAATGGGAGTGCGAAGTAAAGCATTTAAAAGACAAGTTCTAAGGAAACTCACTGTAAAATTTATGAATCCAGTGAATTTTCTTAGATAAGTTAGACGGAGTACACCTGCTTAATGTGTTTACGAAAACGATTATTTTAATTTTGACGTTTGATGCATTTATAAACGTCACATTTCTGTTGCATCTTACCAAAGTAAAAGCTTTCTTTTCACGCAAAAAATGACAGTATTGTTGCTCAATGTGTCTATATGTAAACAAATAATCATGAGTATTAGTCTGATGCTTATAAGAATCAGTGAGCCAAAATCTGTGAATAAATATTTCAAGATTATAATTATGAAACTATTAATTTACAACGTTTGTCAAACCAGCAAACTGATTGTAAGATATTAGTCAGACAATGAAATGGTCTGCCAGCCTGATTTATTCACACTCAAATACTTCACAATGCTTGACCCAGCCCGCTAGCTATGCAAGAGCAAGACAATTAAGAATGCATAAGAAGCTTTAATACCAAAGTTAAATAAAATCGTTTTACGGAAGAGGTTTTCTATGATTTATTTAGACCAAATTTTTGCGCTTAAAATCAGTGAATAGAATGCCAATCGATGGATGGACGGAATGACAGAATGTGACCAAGTGACAGGTACTAACGAGATAGTATTATTAGCTTGGGCATCCGAATGATTAGAAATCAAAAGCAAGACCGCGAGTTAGATGAATAAGTCTTTTCATATGATAAAATAGAACGCTTATATACTGAATATGAATACAAGATAACCACAATAAGATGTCATAGGCAAATGAAGGGTAGGTCAATCATTCTCTAGTTAGTTAAGACCTGACTGTTAGGATTAATCTTTGAGCATAGCATCAAATTGTACATAACCCATAACTAGCTGGGCTGATATAGTGTAGAAACGTAGACCAATGAACATGTGAGCCAGGTTCTACATTGCTTATGACTCACTGTACATAACTTATGGATAAGTATATACATACTTATATATCTTTATTGACTCAGAAAGAGATACATAAGAAATAACTTTAGTCAGACAAGTAATTCACCAACTCATAATAGCCTGTCTAAGCTTTCGTTTTTCACTTGTCCTTGTGGCAGTATTATTTGATTGGTTTCGCAGCGATATGTGACCTGTTTGGATTTGTTTAATCTATCGGACAAAAAAGAAAATAACAGTAAGTCAAATTTGCAAAAGCCTACAACCCAGAAACAACCATGTATACTTGTAATAATACAGTATTTGCCAAGAATGACATTACAATGTGAGGCGTTTTGATCTGAACGTTTAGTACTAGTTTGTGGAAAAACCTTTTGAACAGTATAACTCGGTTAAACCTTAGTATTTCATGACATTTTTATGAATACCATCAATAAGGTATCACCAATGCATGAATCTGCAGCTCTATCGTGTATATTTGTCTAGCTTAGTACATACATTAAGAAAGGAAAAATTAATCAACAATGTTTTTTTATTTCTTCGAGCTAAACCCAGTAATCAACAACCAAAAAAGTTAGTCAGCAGGATCGAGTGAAAATTTGGAATCTAATAAGCGCAAACCGAGAATAAAAGCAAAATCCAGGTGAATACACACTAACTTCACAGTACGTTGTCAACGTTCCTGATAGTTCAGGAAATTAAAAATATGGTAATATTATTGTATCTATTTTAAGTCAACTTTTTAAATAAATGATAGATGAGCTGAAGTGGACTTCACACTCCGTGAGACGTGATCAAGTTTTATTTCTAGTTTCGCTGACATAAAGCAGTAAAGTAAAACTAATTTTAGATAAGTAGGGAAGTAAAAGGTGATAAGGCTAGGTAAATATAAAATTCCGAGATGAATTTCAACACAAATTGATTAGAAACATAGTTAACGGACACAAGCTTTAAAGTGACGCCTTAAAATAAAAATCTCAAGTGACTACAATACATAGTCAACGTGTATCAACACAGCCATCTTCTTGTACAATAGATACATACAGTGAAATGTACGAAACTGACGAGATAAACTTGGCACTTCCACTCATAATAAAGTTACAACTTATAAATCAAGTAATAAATCCGTCCAGTTGAGATTCTCGGTAATTTGTAAGTAAGGTCTTGACCAGAAGTGTTCATATCCTATATACAATAGTGTTATGATTCGAGATAACAATAACTTAGAGGTCAAGGAATCTCCCTTTCAAACGCAGGTCCTAAGTTTGAACCTCGTACCATCTTTTTTGGCAGCTGAATGATAACGCCAGCAACAGCACAATTTGGTTCAAAGATGATCAAATAAACCTGTACTGTCTCCAAGCCCAATACTACCTGTAAGATGCATAAAATTTTACGTCCAGAAAACTCCCCCACATGATATATCAAAATGATCGACATAAGGAGCAACTGAAAAGTTAGAATTTATCACACCCATCTGTTTCGTCTTAAATAATGTCAGTTAGGCAGTGTATAACATTTCGTGGCTTCAAAGTAAGAGTATCAGAGCGAAATCAGTCAGAATTAACATTTTTACCGTATCAAATCAGTAGGATGAGCTCAAAGTAAGACGAGAAGAGCAAAGGAGTCAAAATTATTGTAAAAGTACCAAGTGAGAAAGACTGAACATAATAAATATGGTTACGGAAAAAATTAAAAGGTATGTGTGGAAGAATGCTGGAACTCAAGATCTAGAGGAAGATATGGGTTGAATGTGTCTGCGCTACTGTGACCGATTCTGAACCATGTCATTCAGTTTCAAATCCCTCATTGTATAGATCCAACCGTGTGGTCACCATCTACGAGCACGGTTTGGTCCAATAGTCAAAATTTATTTCACTGGATTATACTCCTTGAATAACATCTTCAAGCCCTAATATTTCCGATTACTACTTATACTCTTACTACCTCTACCACTACGGAATTTGAGTTGACAACTGCATCTCTGTGCTAACGTGGTGTGGCAACTCGAACTGATGTACGTACGTACGTACGGAGTTCTACGTTGTTACTGACTGACTGACTGGTCCAATAGTCAGTGACTTCATGAACTCATGTCACATTTCCGTATACCCTCCCTAGGTTACTTCTAACATGATTCTATAACAACCAACACCAAGAGTCAAAGTAGGTGAGGGATTGACATACGTACCAAATCAATTGATGAAGATCCACAACTTCATCGACCGATTTTCATAGTTGGTGGAGATTTGTAGCTCAGGTAGATGATTTTGATAGAGTTTTGTTCTCTGAGCTGGATAGTTTGGTCGTGGGGCTTTCATCGTTCTTCTGAACGACATCATCAGCATAAACTTCAGATAGAATTGAAGCGTTAGAAAGAAGTAAACAATGACAATTTTAAGGCCAATAAGAACCAATTAACATCGAACGCTTAACTTCTATCTGAAGTGTTTACTGATGATTTCGTTCAGAAGAACGATGAAAGCTCCACGACCAAACCAAACAGCTGAGAGAACAAAACTCCATCAAATTTTTTCATATTTGCTTAGCTCCTTACATCTAATATCAGGGTCACTTACTTGGCTTTCCTACGATACACAAACACCGCTTCGAAAAAACCTATGATCAATGACATGAAGCCTATGAAAGTATTTTATTTTCACTGACCACGCTTCAGCCACCGATTAATAAGTTACGGACTAGCAAGCAGTATACTTACTGTTCGATTGACGAATGCATATCTCACCTGTACTTTAACTGACGCGAATTGGCGTAAGTGAAGCTGATTTTCTGAATCAGTATGGAAATTTTGGTAACATGGATCAACCAGGTATGATGGAAATTAAAAGGTAGTTGAAGTGATGGATGTCCTCAATTAGTTCAGGACATATAACAGAGATAGGAGATGACGTAGACCAGCCATGAGGCAACATTTGATATTTAAAAAGAGAGAAACTTATCCCAAAAAATCTGACTCTGTTGCTCAAGGTATTCAGGAGATTGAATTATGTCAATCTTCACCTCATAAAACTATGTCATTAGGGTACTTCATTCCGATTTGTGAGTTTACGAGAAGATTAATCCGAGTAAAGTTAGGTGAAAAAAGTTCCTGCAAGAACATCTACGAAAATCAATACGTTCAGATAGTGGGAGACCATGACAAACAGCACCTGAGTTTGGCAGTTCCGATGTCTGTTTGTTATTAGCGTTAACTCGACCTAGTTTTTGAATAAATAGCTTTTAGAAGCCTCATATATATCTTCAGAACATTTCTTAGTGAAATATTCCACGAAACATCTTGGTCTATTAAGTCGATAATTATCGCTAGTCAGATGAGAATATCAATCTTTAAGTTTCTAAAAGAGTAAATATGATTGAGACATCCAAATCCAGCCTTGAAATCATTCTGCTCTTCCCGTGTTTGCTATTTACTGTGTCCAGATAAGCGTCATATGATTATTAAAGGTAGTATTTTAGATACCATCTTATTTAAATTTATGTCGTTGTACTTATCAAAAAGCCACGAGTTGTTGCAGGGCAAGAAAGAAATCTCTTTGTTCAGTATCTAACTCATTTATTCCACCAAAACAACTTAGTGCCTATTATTATCGTAAAACTCGGTAAATTATAAATGAAGGGTATATAAGAAATTATAGATATTAGGTTAAGTCAAAAAAAAGTGTCAGTTGTTCACTAGAACAAGCTAACCTAGGCAGTAAGAAGCAGGTTGATGAAAACTTGTAAAACTAATAAATTACCTTATGCACACAATGTAGATGAGAGTAGAAACAATAAACGATACAAATTATCCAACTCACCAAGCAACAAGAACAGAACGAGGTTCAAAAGATTTAATATAAGGAACCAGACTGCTGAGAGTAGTGCCTGAGTCAAGCAAATCTTCAACTATGAGAACATCCTGAAGTTAATTTTGATAAAGTCTTATATATGATTACCTTGTTTTTAAATGATGTCAAGTTAGTGTAAGTATGAAATTGAGGTTCGTGACATACGACATCATTCTGAAACTAAAAATAACACCAAACTCACTTCGTATGTGTTGGAAACGATGAAGTCCATGAAGATGGGTATATTTTTACTTCGTGTAACTGCGCTGTTATGTATTTTTTCACTTAGATCGGATGCAAACTTGAACCCGCCTTTAAGAACGCACAAGAGATTTATAGCAGTTGCATTAAGCAACTCAAAAGTTTCTAAAATATCGATTGACATTCTTTCGAGCCTTTAAAATTCGGTAAACCTGTGCTACATTTGTCATACCTGTCCTTGATCATACCGTTAGGTACTATTATGCTCTCTATGTATTGTTCATACTTGCTAGCCAAGTTAAAACACTTCTCGGAATACCCAGGAAAGTCGTCATCGATCTAAAGAGAAAACTAATGGACTTTGGTCCACTAACTCACAACTACACAGTTCTTCCTGTATGAAGGCTCCATTTCACAGATTAAAATCAGCCCAGGATTCAAATTACCTCCTTCCCCCACAACGACCTTGAACGCACAAATAACTGCGGGGATCTAATATTCTCCGTGCTTCATGGGTATTGACTAGGTATACCTATCTTATATTTATGGTGTACGCACATCAGACGTACTTTATTCTTCGGAAACACTATTAATGATGGATATGCCGTAGAAAGTAGACTTCGCAAACTACCACAAGCAACTGAGCAAAACCTCAATAGGACGAAGCTTATTGTAAGTGAATTAAAACGCATGTGATGCAAAAAAGTAATTCATTCCACGAAAACTCAGAAACGTCAGGATTAAGACTAGGATTTAGGAGTTTCTAGTAGTAATCAGGGTTAGCCAAGTGTATGGAGTGCTCAGATCGAACTTTGTTGATACTTTTCACGCTTATACATTTTCTGGTCCAGCACAGTCTTAAGGATGAATATTCATACAACCAGATCCCGATTTTAAATGCATCCTCTACTTACCTTGAAATATTGATAAATTATGTTTTGTGTTGTTTAGTATTCCACGTTTATCAATTTTAAATGTCTCAGTAACGTGACTTTGGTAGGTATTTCTAAACCTTTAGCATGATATAAGCTATCAGTCATCGTATTTTGAATTTCGCGCGAAAATCCACAACCAAATATCTCAAGCTTGACTGGCTAATCATTAAGATATTCTGATGCAGAGATTTAACTTCAACAAGTGTCAGATCTCTTCACGAATGACTGTTCTTTGAGCAAATCTCTCCTCTCTTAACCGTTTCTTTTGTACTCTGAAATCATACTACTTGTCGGCGTGTACATTATTGACCAGTAGCGTAAATATGACATTAGGACAGATTGTCTGTATTTGGATCCTATATTTGAATAGGTTTAAACTGGAAATACTGTTCACAACTTCCTTGTGTGATATTTCACTTAAAACTGATTCATATACGAGTCTATAATGCAACGGGAAAACTCAATAATATACTAATTATCCGTTCGTTAATGGACTTGTTACTAGAGGAGAGTTTGTTATTTGATTGTATTACATCGTCAAATTTATGTTTACATATGGTGTTTTTTCTGGACAGGAAATGGTGGATTAATAATCTTGTTAATTAAACAAGGCTTGCTGTCTGATTTGAGATTAGACGAGCTTTTTAATCTGAATAGCGCCCCTTCTCCACAACTTTTGAATCTCCCAACATATTCCTCTAGTTGCTCGGCGGAACTAGCAACATATAATTTGTATATATATTCCATTTTAGAAAACCCCGCTGAAACACTGTGCTGTATTTGTACCATGGCAGCGACATCAAATATAATGTTCATAGAAATGGATTAAACTAGCAAGTGAACTAGCACTTCAACAGTAATCTTGAACAAATGAGCACACGGAATCCACCGATTATAATATTATTAAACTTGTATTCTGATGATCAAACGGACATTTAACCAATTCAGTAATGAACAGAACTAGAATAGATATGAATTCGAAATAAATAGAAATTGTATTCAAATATTTTAATAAATCAACAGAGACTGAAATAGTTATCAGAATAGATATGAATATGGACTTAATTTCACTGCCATTAGACCGAAGCCAGTATAAACTCGAGTTAACCTTAGTGGATTGAACGGATATGAATTATAAGTAGTACATATAAGAAATATATGTATATAGTCAATGGAACTAATACAGTATCGTTGTACAGACATGCAGATTGTTACATGTAGAAAATGGTAAGTAGGAATTCATGGTAGCCCATATGGACGAGTGTATAATGACCAACAGAATTTAAGTGAGATGTTTGTTAGTCAATCACATGATAGTCTAATATTATAAGCAATCTAATGAAGCATAAACTTGTATGAACCCATTGTTTGAAGCCATCATATCTTTGTATTGTCAATACATTTGAACGCATCACATTATTACCAACAGTGTATTTCTTTCGGCGTCTAAATGAAACTCTAGGAGGCTAATTTAGTGAAATAGTGTTTGTATTATTAATCTCAATGGGGGACAGCGAATGGATTGAGAACTCAAACAAAAGTTTCCCTGAATATGTATTTAGTTAGTTAAATGAACTGATAAGAAACGAGATCAAAGAGGATAACAAATGTATGGACACCACACTGGACTAAAATAGTGATGGTAAGTAGGTTCTTAAGGTTGTGAAGTTACGTCTATTGATGTAGTTGAAATGTGTTAACGTACACGATGATTCTTGATGCGTTATACTAATAAGAAAAGAAATACTTTAGAGATTAAAAGCAAAAAAAATATAACCGAAAAATAAATTTTAAGAAATACATAAATTGAACAAAAATTCCTTACTACTAATATGAAGTGTTATCAGTATCCGATACAGAACTAATAAAAGAAACAAGTTGCAGTAACTTCTGATATGTTAAATACTGTAACAACTTATGAGTTGAAGGAAAGATTTTTCAACAAAAAAATATTAGATTTCATTCAAATTTATTATGCATACTATACCCTAGAAAAGTTTTCAACTTAAAACAGTCTGTGAAGAGAAATAGTTCATCAAAGTCTAGAGATCGAACATTCTTGCATGAAACCGAAGGCCTTGGATTCGAATCCCACAAACAGGATCGTGGATTCGCACTGGTGAGGAGTCCCACAATAGGACGAAACGGTCATCTAGTGCTTCCAGATATTCAATGATGATCTAACATCAATCGGTTCATGATCTCAATCAAAAACTTAATAATCTTCACCACCCTATATTAATAAAGTCAAAATAGTTTTTAAAGACAAATAATATTGTACAATGTTGAAATAGTACTAAACAAATACAAGATTACATAATGACAATGTTACATTTTTTAATATTATTCTTTAAAGAACTTTTAACATAAAACTTTCTTTGTTTATATTGTAAATCTAAGCTGTTTATTTAATATTGCCGTTAATAAACCAGAAATACTCTATGCATAACTTGAACAAAAACAAAAAAGGACAAATATCTAATTCAATATTTTTTCTTTCTGTTAAGATCTATCAATGTACATTGTTGTTGTTGTTGTTTTTGTTGTTGTTGTCTTACCATCGCTGTCACCTACATTCTACTTGAAGTTGAATGAAATGTCAATGAACTACTGCCAAATCTATGTCGTATAGAAAAAAATGAAAACTATTCAGTTTATTTTTAAAAATAGAATCATTGAGTATTGAATTGTGCTTCTATAAAACGTTTTATAAGTTTACAAGAAAATGATAATCCAAATGGTGGTAGAGAAGATTTGTAGCTCAATTGGATGATTTTGATAGAGTTTTGTTCTTTGAGCAGGATGGTTTGGTCGTGGAGCTTTCATCGTTCTTCTAAACGGCATCATCAGTACATTTCACTTCTACCTGAAGTTTGTGCTGATGATGTCGTTCAGAAGGACGGTGAAAGCTCCACGACCAAACCATCCAGCACTGTGCACTGCTGAGGAGTCCCATACTAGGACGAAAAGGCAGTCCAGTGCTTCCAGGTTTTCCATGGTGGTCTAGCTTCAATTGACTCATGATTTGAATCTGTGAAATTTCTAAAAATCTCCACAAAACCCATTCTGGTAATAATCAACTGCTCATTAGTGACTGACTTCAGGAGATACTCCTAGAGTTCTAGTGAGAAGCCGTTACCAGTGGAGTTCAACCAGGTCTGTTGTGAGATATCAGCTCACTGAGGACAATGGTGTACGGTGGCGCAAATTCGTGGATTGGTTGGAGCTAGACATTAACACCGTTGGATGCCAGCTCAGTGGTCTAGTGGTTAAGTGCTCGCGCGCGAAAGCAGTACGTCCTGGGTCCGAATCCCGCAGGGTGCGGAATCGTGGATGCGCACTGCTGAGGAGTCCCATACTAGGAAGAAGAGGTCGTCCAGTGCTTCCAGGTTTTCCATGGTGGTCTAGCTTCAATCGACTCATGATTTCAACCTGTGAAATTTCTAAAAATCTCCACAAAATCCATTCTGATAATAGTTATGATTGACAAATTAAGTTATGTAAACATGGATGATACTGAAAGTTGGAAGGATGACCGGATAGTGAGAGGAAATTAACAAGAAATCCTGGAGTTTTATATGTCTGTTGATTCAACAACCAGAGATTAGTTCTGTGATCAGTTTACAAAGCAAGCCTATAAAATCCTCTGTTTGTTTGAAATGTTTATGATATTTGAGAAATTATATGAAAACTATATCCGTCATCTTAATTATTATCAGTTACAGTGAAACTATTCATGTTTTAGTTGCCCTTTGATCTAACTCCGGTTCGATCATATGACAATGTTAACGAAACATATCACCAACTCTTGTATTTAATTATTGATTTAATTCGCGTTATAGAATAACGGACTAAAATTATTCAAATACGAGAATGAATTTTGGATACGCATATTTCATGCACTTGTTAGCCCAGACAGACAATTAGAGAAACGAAGTGGAGAAACAGACCGGAGAAAGCAAGTGTGCCATCTTCATTGGCTAAAGCGTAACTCAATATTTATAGACAGGAAAAATAAGCCAAAGACGCAACGTTAAAATATGACTCAACAAAAATTAATGAATTGGTCTCTCCGATAGCTAGAATAACTCATGGTGGCTTGTCATAGACCTAACACTACAATATGATTAGTTCTGAACTGTTGCACACATGTGTGTGTCAGTGCTTCACTGACTGATCTATCGATTCTGTAGACTGTTAATCCTGAGTATCTTCAGTTCATTTCATATCATTTCATTTAGCTGAACTTCATTGCATTGAATCAGTGTCTACTTGGTTGTTTGGACTACCAGTTCAATTGCTACTCAAACTCTGGTTAATATTGTGTTGTTCAAAATGTCTGTGATTTCCGTAGACATTGGGAGGTTTTCAGAGATTTAAATTCTTTGGTGTCAACAGCATAATTTCTTATGAGAAATCAGATCCATTTAGTGATTGAAATGTATGTACATCAGTCTTTCATATGAAACTGTTCGTATTTCATGACGCCAGTCCTTTAAACACAGATATTGTAGTCTCAAGTCAAACTGATCTGAATTTTA